AAGATGATAAAGAAAAATTAGTAGAGGTTTTGAAGGAAAAGTCTTTAAAGTGTATCATGCTGGATTAAACAGCTTCCTGTCAAGAAACATCTCCACTTTGCTTATATTTTTCCAACAATCATACCATAAATAAGATCAATACTTATAGCTGTCTCAACAATGGAAGAATCTTCAGTTCATTAAGTTAAAGAGCAAAATAAACATTAGAAATGAGTAGAAAAATTCTCACAATATCACAATACAATCTTGCTCTTTTATTAATAGCTAAATTACTGCTAATGGAATTTCCTGTTTCCTGCTCTTTATATCCACTAGACCAGTGTTCCTCAACCTCTAACAAATCATCGCCCCCTTCAATAAAATCGTTATGTAGTATTGCCCCTTCACTACAAAATTACGATGCTGAGGGACAAGGCTAACGCCAAATTCGTACTGCATTGAATAGACTAGTGACTAGTATAATGTTATTTGTTTTAATTAATGAATAAAATATCTAATTATTCTTAATATAATGTTTTACTATATCATCCAGAAAATTGTTTTTCGCCCCCCAAAATATAAATTGTTGCTAATCGCCCCCTCAANATAATGAATAAAATATCTAATTATTCTTAATATAATGTTTTACTATATCATCCAGAAAATTGTTTTTCGCCCCCCAAAATATAAATTGTTGCTAATCGCCCCCTGAACATGGAAAAACGCCCACATGGGGGCGATATCGCCCCTGTTGAGAAACACTGCACTAGACCAATGTTTCTTAAATGATCCATGGAACCCTGGTTTCCTCAAAATGAAACTTAGGGTTCTACCATCTTACACAGTAATTTTATATACATTTTTAATTTCTATATTTTACTCTTATTAGTATGTATTAACTTTTTAGTTTAAAGATTAAAAGATAAGTACAGTAGAACCTCGAAAACTCGGCCTAATGTGGACCGAAGGGTGGCCGAGTTTGTGAAAATGCCGGGTTATCGGGAATGGGGTTAAAAAAAATAAGTACGAGTGTTTCCTCAGAAAATACTGTACTGTACTTGTATGTATTGTTTACTTGAGAATATAACAGAGAATAAACTGCCCAAATACCCTTAAACAAAGGAAAAGTACGTCTTTTATGAAGGCATAGAGCCTTTACTACATGAAAATGAAAATTAATGAATACACTGTGTACAGTAATTTACCTGCTAAGACAGACCTCAGAAAAATACTTTATGAGAGCTTTTATACTTTTATAAAGCTGTTTATAATGAAAATTAATTAACTAAGGATGTTTTTGCCCTGCCAGGGTGTGGCCGAGTTATCCGGAGTGCCGGGTTATCGAGAGCCGAGTTTTCGAGGTTCTACTGTATCTAGTATTAATACACAATTTGTTTTGTATACATAACATGCTTCTGTGTTACCATTTACTGTAAAATTTTAATTTATGAGACTATCTTTGTTCAACATGCTTTTATTACAATTAAATATAAAGCATGTTCTTACTTCATGATTTGGTGCTCTACTCATACAATTATGTCTTCAATCAATTCAATCACTCTTACAGATCATTTCATATTTTGGCTGGGCAGTATGTGGTACTTCGTCAAGGTTTTGAAAGTTTTTAAAATTTTGAGAGCCCTGTTTTGGTAACACAGAGATTTTGTCACATATTCAACCATCAGTCTGTTCTTCATTAAGTATATAGACTGGACCCTGCTATTGCACATTTTTACAGCATAGCCAAGATTCATGAAACAAACTATACCATATTCATGACTTTATTATAACCAATTATTGTCTTCTCTCTGTGAATGACAAAAATAGTTCCTGGATTCCAAACCTGTTTAGTGTAAAAGAGAATCCAACTTAGTGGGATATTCTATACTATAACACAAAGATTTGATCACAACATGGTTAATTAAACAAAAACTTTTTTTAAAAAGTTTCTTGAATCACATTCTGGAGTGACACAAGAATACCGACTTATCCAGAAAAGCAAACCATGCTTTATTGTATTTTGCCAGTATACATTTATATGAAAGAACATTATCAATTTATGCATCAACAAAAATTAAGTATAGAAATCTATTAAATGCCACTCTTGATATGCTAATTCAACTCTCAAACATTAATTCAAATGTTAAAAGAATTTCCAAGGAAGGACACCACTTTCTTTTCATTAAAATATATAGCTTTTTTTTATTTAGTATTATTTTATAACTCACTATTATTATTACTAAAAATCATGTTATTTATTTTATTGATATATGCAATAAAATATGATTTAGCATTCAGTACAGGCAGGTCTAGAATGGGAACAGCCAGGTGATGTGAAGGACAGTTCCCGACATTGGGGTCAAACCACTTATGAAAATTTGAGCCAATTTTGCCTCAAACCCTGAACCCAGAGTGGTAGGCTGATGCCATCTGGCAAAGCTTTAATTTTAACTTTGTAAGAATCCTATTAAAGAGTTCCACAGATTTTTTATTGGATTAAATTAGGAAATACAATAGGCAATTGAGTGACGTAATAAATAAATTATATGTAATACTTGTCTTGATTTATTTACCTTCAGTTATGGCATTGCCTTATGTTATGCATGTCCATTGCCTGTAGTTTTGTTTATTAATGCATTATATACTGCAAAGACATAGCTTAATTAATTTATTTTATGCTAATGGTTTATATTTATACTGTATGTACTATGATTGCGTTTTATTTTTCCAATTGAAATTTCTCTTTAATATTTTTTTGTTTTGAGGACTATTGAACAAACCATCCAAAGTACTATCCATTGTCAGAGTTCTGTTTATAAACACACTAAGTTTATGATTCTCCTAACAATGTATGAGGTGTGTCTGGAAAGTAAGTACTATTTTGGAAAAACTTGCATAAAAAAATTTTTTTTCAAAACAAAATTTATTTTTACATGAAAGAGCATGTTGGAAACTATTTTTCTACATAGTTACCACCATTGTTCAGACATTTGTCATATTGGGAAACTAACTTGTCTATACCCTCTTCACAGAAAGATGCCGCCAGCGAAGACAGCCACTGCTAAACATTGGTTGTTGCGTCGTAATTGCTGGCAAAGCTCCTCCCGCCAAAATCGTGCTTCAAGTTCAAGAACAAATGGTAGTCTGTAGGTGCGAGGTTGGGTCTGTAGGTGATCGAACTGCTCCCAACCAAATTGTTGAATAAGGTTTTGAGGGACACCAGAAGTATGGGATGTGCATTGTCATGAAGTAACACAATGCCTTTACTGAGACTTCCACGTCTTTTGTTTTGAATTGCATGGCAAAGTTTTCACAATGTTTCACAGTATCGTTTCGCATTGATGGTTTCACCTCTGAGAAAGAACTCAACAAGCAGAATGCCCATCTGTCCCAGAACACAGTGCATTCGTGTGACAATGTTGTTTTGAATTTGTGTCTTGTGGTGGACCATGAGTGCCTCCATTCCATCGACTGTTGTTTTGATTCTGGAGTGACATGACAAACCTAAGTTTCATCACCGGTAACAATTTTGTTTAGGAAATCATTATCCTCTTCACTGTATCAGGTAAGAAATGTCAAAGTACTTACAAGTCACTTTGTTTTGTGGACATTGTAAGCATTTTGGGAACCAAACAGGAACACAATTTGCGATAATTTAAGCAATTTGTGACAATTTCATGCAAAACAGTTTTTGAAATTTGTGGAAACTCATCACAAAGCAATCTTAATGTGAATCATCTGTTTTCAAGAATTTTCTCATTTACCTTTGCAATCAAACCATCATTGACAACAGAAGGCTGGCCACTCTGTGCTTCATCATGAACATTGGTGCGTCCAGCATTGAATTGTCTAACCCACTTTCTCACCATTCCATCACTCATTACATTTTCACCATAAATCTCTACTAGTTGATGATGAATTTCAACTGACTTAACATTCTTTGCGCTCAAAAACCATATTACAGAATGCACTTCGCAGTCGACGGGATCAGCAATCGTCTTAAACATTTTGAATGCTTACTAACATGTGGAAAAACAACACAATCTGGCTGTAATGGCGTCACTGGACTGACAATCAACCAGAGACATGTATGCGCAGGCACTACTGCTGCGGTGGCAGTAGAACGAAACGGTACTTACTTTCTGGACACGCCTTGTATTTTGTTATCCAAAAGTTCTTTAGTTTGAGTTATACATTAGAATCTGTTTATTGCAATCGCACTGAGACTGCTATGATGAAAGATTACTGACAACATTAAACAGGATAAGTAAAATAAGAGTATAATTAGTGAAAATTCTGGTTTTATTGGTCCTGATATTAAACAATTAAAAACATATCAAAGTTATACATTTCTTTAAAGTATTGTTAATAATTGATAGTTACTCCAATTATAAGCTAGATCAAATTACTAATGCCATCAATTTAAGTTATACATTTTCTTTTTTGCTTGAAGTATAGTAATTTTAAACTACAGGATTAAGACTGATGATAATGATTTTAGGTTATCAGCCATATGTTGAGAGTGAGAGAGTAAGTTTTAAAATGTCTATTTGTTTGCAGTAAGAAGTCTTATGAATGTATTACTTTAAGTTTATAGATATAAAGGGTGTTCAAAAAAGCAGTTTGGATGACTTCTTCATATTAGCATTAACACTTTTGGTTAAGTTGAAGAAAGATATCTTTTTCAACTATTATTCCATGTCTTTTATTAAGAAATGCTTTACATTTAAATCCAGTTTTTTTTTTAGTTTGTTTTTCTTTATCATCCACATCCTCTCTCCTTCTGTTTCTATACTATCTGACAATCTGTCAGCCTTGTTTAATTCAGATAATTGTAATCCACTTCATTGTTGTTCCTTTATAACAACAAATATATTCAAGAATGATATGATACTATATTATATGTATAATTTTCAAACTTTCCTTGAAACAATCAACAAAGTTTTATTACAATTTAAATTTTTTGGAACTGAATATAAAGCAAAATTATACTATGAAATGATATTATTACACTTATTAAAAAATATTATTTATTTAACAGCCAAAATACAAACATAATCAAAAAGAAAAAAAAAATTTTCTATCCAATACAAATGCTTAATTTTCTTAGTGAATGGAAGTTTTGTTGTATTAATACCATTGAATAGTTAGAGCAGCAATAATTCTATTTTGAATCTAACACATCATCTCCAGGTAGCATATCAAATAAGTAAAAACATTCAGAATATAATTTTTCAATGTTGAGATGTTTAGTTCTGTTTACAAGGGCAGTTTCAGTAATGACAATGGAATTGTGTGTTAATTACTGAAATTCTGGACATGACATAAACATAATTTCATAAGTAACCAATGGCATCCTTGTACTGTTCAACTGTTTTAATTGACAATGAATAAAATTAGCCTTGATTATTCATTGTTATCTCCCTACTTTTAACAAATGTCAAAGAACTATAAAAATATAAATAGCAGCAATTTCCAAGAATACAATTTTTATTTTTTATACAATAATTAACATACACATTGGAATTGAAAGGTATTTAGAGAAAATAATAGAATAAGTTTTAAAATGTACATAAAGTAATAGATACTTATTCAAACTTATTTTTAAACAATACAAAATGCATTTAAAAAATTAGCTTAAATTTACATCTATATGATTTGGATAACTTTCAGGAATGTAATGAATAATGTCATCGTTCCAGTTGAGTCTTCTGTATGGCTTCCTCCACCGATTGTCTAAGAACTGAAATGACCTGCCGAGGGTTGTTGCTGTTTGTTATAGCAGTTCCAGAAACAATCATGTTGGCTCCAGCCTGGAAAAATATGGTTGTTTATTAGAAAATGCATTAAAAGTGAATAGATTTTAAATTTATAATACAAGACCAAAGACAGATTATCATCAGAATTTTTACAGAACTTTTTTCACATTTTCAGTTAGAGAAACCTGATAATGCATCTTACAAGGGGACATTATAGTCTCGGAAATTCAGTTCGGGATGAGACTTCACAGGTTAGTAGTATACAATTCTGGCTGGACACCCTTGAGGTAAAGTGCACTAGCCAGATGATTCCGAGAAAAAGGGCTCTAAAGTTTTAAGCACAACTCGTATACAGGTCGATTTTACACTATGGCAGCACAGCAAAATGGCTAAGTTTGTAGTGAACTCGCTTGCCACGGGGCCATCTAGATTCGATCCTACGGCTAACTTTTTTATTTTTATTTTTAAATGCTTTAAAAATTATAACAACTTTTAAATAACGTTAATGATCTAAAAATATTATCAATTAAATCATAAATAATTTATTTTATTTATGAAATGACTGTTACAGTTAATTAAAATGTGAATTAAAGATATTTTTAAAAAAGTTGAATAATTTCAAATGCATTTTTAATGGAGGTAAACTAAAACTTTAATTACCACAATAACAAAATTTTCAGGTATTGTTTTATTTGTATAAAAATTTTTACAATATCTTTATTTGCCAATTTTTTATTTTACATACAAGCACTAGAATGATAATTATCACAAAAACTGAAAACAAAACTATTTTGACATTTTGCACAATTTATAAAGGACGATTGTTTACACGAATAACTTTTTTCTAAAAGACCTATTGGAAAACATACTTCGTTTACATTCATGAAAAATTCTCTTTTATCAGAAAGCCTGGAAACCTACCAGGCATACTGGATCATTTCATTAAAAATTGGCAATGACAGTTGATGATGCACTATTAATTGTATTTTTATACTTCACGAGAATTTATTTCTTTATTATTTTCAATCAGATAAGCACAATTTTGTATACGTTTTATTAGATTTTTTACATGTCTATAAAAATAGACGTCACAAGGTTGAGCAAAAATAAAAATAATATTTTATTTTTAATTCACATTTTAATTAGCTGTAACTGTCATTTCATAAATAAAATTGATAATATTTTTAGGTCATTAACTTTATTTAAAAGTTGTTATAATTTTTAAAAATAAAAATAAAGAAAAAAGTTAGCTGTAGGATCGAATCTAGATGGCCCCATGGCAAGCGAGTTCACTACAAACTTAGCCATTTTGCTGTGCTGCCATAGTGTAAATTGACCTGTATATGAGCTGTGCTTAAAACTTTAGAGCCCTTTTTCTCGGAATCATCTGGCTGGACACCGTTGAGGTATACTACTAACCTGCAAAGTGTCATCCCAACTGAATTTCCGAGACCGTAAGGCCCCCTTGTTAAATTATTTACAGTCTTCTATGCAACAGAAGTCATACTTGCATCACAATTCTGATAAACAATTTGAATTAAATTTTATTTTATTATATTCAAATTGCATTCCTTGAAATAAGTTTTGCCATTTTAAAATTCTGCAATTTCAACAATTATTATTAATTCCTAATTATGACAATTTTTAATAAAAATAGTTTAAGACTTTATAGTTCCTTTGTAACTAAAAAATCAGGCTTAAATTTTGTTATAATGATGCTTATCATGCATCTTTTCTTCCAGAACCTTCTAAATTTATTAATTTAGCAGGAGATACACCTAATGTCTATCTCTAGTGCCAAATTACTTAGTGTTTAATTAATAATTTCCAAAATATATCAGGCTATATTACTACTATTATTTGGCTTTATTACAACAAATATTGAATTAAACAGTTTTTAATAACAAGGCAATCAGTTTAGTATTGCTTTTTTTTTATTTACTGTAGTTGAATTTATACAAAAACATTCGAGGCTTCTCCATCTTCAATTGATAAAACTCATATGAGGCTTCATAATGATACTTGCTTACAAATTAATAATCTAAACCTTGTTTATAAAAAAATTTTTTGTTTCATCATAAATAGCATTAATTTTTTTATCAATGCAAGATTATCTCCTTTTAACTAAAGAAAATGTGCCTATTTTCTTTTCTGTATTACAATTATTCCTGATAAACTTATACGGAATGCTTTGAAAAATATCAACGAATCAAATGTTATTCAACAGTTTGAATTAATTTCAAATTTAGAAATGGATTATAATGTACAGCTTAAAAAAATTCACAAAATTGGATTGGATTATTTAGTTTGCTCTATGACTGAAAAGTCATGATATGGACAGTCACTATAAAACAAATGAGAATTTCATTTTTATCACTAATATCATATAATGCCAATGAATATGTTTTGAATCACAACCGCACACTGGGATCATTTGATTTGAAAACATTCAAATTTTTGTTGTTTTTAAGCAACTTTAAAGTACTTACAAAACTGATTGATAAAGTTTAACAAAACATATTCCAAAAAAATGGACTCACTTGAACCGGTGCATAATATGATTAATATCATAAGTTGAAGATTTGAGTGCATTGCAATATTCCAATTGCTAAAACACACAGAAACTTGGTCTTATCAGAGTGTATTTTTATTAAACTTTCTAATGCACTCTCAAAAGTAATGGAAGTAATAAAACAACAAATTTAAAAACCAGTTAATCTATTCTCATGCCCCTTGGATGAGGATGTGGCTGTTAGTATGAATTTTTTGTTCTCTTGTGATTTCATGCAAACTATTACATATTGTTCAGTCAAAAGTTATTAGATTAGAAGATAAATAAAAGTAATAATATGGTAAAGGTTTAGAATCTTTTTAACGATAATATTCACATCTGTAACCTTTAAGTTAAATGTGCTTCTAGAATTGGAAAATTAAACCAAATGGTAAAATAAAAACTGATCAACTCACAAATAATGAATATATTTATATACTTTGAAGATAAAATGTTTAAAAATGTTAATTAAAATTACTGGATGAATACAAGAACTATCAAAAACAAATTAAGGTTATATTGCAATTTAACAGATTAATTATAGACAACTAGTAGCTCAGGACGCCCCCTAGTGGGCATTCTTTACAAATTTCCATGAGGCATGGTTCCTTTGACTTTTTGTTCCTATCAATATGCTCTACAGCTCTGTTAAAATCCGAATGGTAAGATTTACCCTCCGAATGAACAGGTGGCAACCCCCCCAAACCATAGACCCCTGTACTAACAATAAAATCAAAGGAACCATATCCCTACTCGCGACCCTTCGAGAGATATAAGCCCCTGAAATAATAAATTCCTATTACAAATATACTGAATTATTTATATTGTTATATTGACCAAATAATAATTTATTGGACAAATGAATAATAAAAATTCATATTGTTAATTTAAATAAGAATTAAAATTGTTAATTTGAATGTTTGAAATATGACACACGATAGAGGTGCCTCTAGTGTCCGTTATCAAACGATTACTGGACAGACAGAGACGGATACCCGTTGAATTGGTTATATATATAGATAAGATATTTGCATGTAACTACAAAGATGAAATTTTCCAGTCAGATGGAAGACAAATTTTTATAGTAGTAATGATAAACAGCATGACAAATACAGTATAAAATTTTATACTTGGATAATATAAAACTATTATAATAATATTGCTTTCCTAATTTCTGGAATCGGAACACATCCATTCTATATATCAGTCTGGTAGAAACATGACATACATTTTTGGTAATTAAATCAATTTTCATATCATATCAGATGCAATCTTTAAGGTTAAATTGTAAAATCAGTATAAATAATTTCAGTATCTAATTTATATTTCAGATGAGTTAAACACTTACACAACTAAAAATCCAGCTTGTGAATCACAACATTGGAGAAAAATGAATGTTTTTAATTGCTTTTAGCAGTTATCCTCAAGTTAAAGAACTTATTCAGAAACATAGAACATATGATGGAATATAATACAGTAGAGCATCGATTATCTGAATCAATTGGAGACTGGAGTTGTTCGGAAAATCAATTATGTACAAAAAAAATATATTAACCTAGCCCATGTTGAAATTCGTCCATGGTCATGGTCGTGCCAGTGCTGCCAGCTAAAACATGCACACCAACAAAAATAACATTGAAGTAGCCCAAGTCATAGCCAAAGATTGCAGTGCCACAGCACTAACGGAAATTTAAATTTGCTGACTGGAAAGTTTTTGGTTAATCGATATTCGGATAATCTACATTCTACTGTGTAATCTATACTAATATTATAAAGAGGTCATGTATGTAAGTTTGTTTGCAGCAGGTAACCTCCGAAACTACTCATCCGATTTCAAAAATTCTTTCACCAATATTTAAAACGGAACCTCAGGGTGGACATAGGCTGTATATTATTCCGTTAAACATTCATATAAATTAAAAGATATCATCTAGGTTAAGGCTTTTATGTCCAACAGATGGCGCTACGAGTACGACGCCCCAAGTTTGCTTTTCTGTGAAAAAGTTTGCTTTTCTGTGAAAATGAACTAAAGCAGATCATCATCTATCTATCTATATAAATAAAAATGTAATGTTCGTTTGTTCCTACCGATTCCTTTGAAATTTTCACACAGCGCTGCATTCGAATACGCACGTGTTTTTATATAATATACATGTCGAAATTCCCCCCACTGAAGGGAGATGGTTAGGATTAAGGCTTACCGTATAGAACTCTGCTTCTATTTAGGCCTATACTATTTTAGATGTGGTTTTTTGCGTTTTAATAGGGTACGTCAACAGAATGTACACTAAGAAGAAATTTTTTGAAAAATTCCCCCATGGGGAAGTGTTATAAATTTATAATAGATACATTTTGAGCCACAACAACGCGTGGCGGGGTCTGCTAGTTTAAAATATAAAACAAATGACTGACTGGCCGTCAGATGCCACGTTTTTATTGGGATGTACTTATTTGATATTACTTTTACATCTAGATATCTGATAATGCCCTCCAAGCTGGGGAT